TGTAATGTAAATGTCCTTTGACAGCGGTATATTGAAGTAAGTACTTTTAATTTAATACCAGCTATTATTCACGGGCGATATGTCATTGTAATAATGACAGACCGACACGTCAAACAATCAAATACCGACTGTAATTGTCGTACAATTTGCTTTTGATACGTGATATGTGATAATTAGCTCATTCTAGTGGATCGTGGAATCTGACAGCTAATAACAAAGTGTTCGAAGTGTTCGGAAATTTTGAAAGAAAATATTCTTGATTTGTTACTTTGAATAAATATATCGCTATAGATAAATAGTTATAATATGAATTGCCTTTAGTTTATCTCCAACATATTGTTATTTAACTTAACGTTTCAAGGGGTTTTTAGCAGTGTCTGTGTGTGCGAGTGTGAGTGTGTGGTCTGCGAGTCTTTTTAAAAATATAAATGCATAATGTTTTTATTTACCACTGCTCCGAAGTCTACATAATATAATCATAGTGACTTAAGAATATGCACTAGTGTGTACACAGACACACAATAATGAGCTTATACCAAAACGGCACTCGACAAGGCTTACTCGAAGACGGTAGTACAATCAACAATAGATCAGTGGCGTTATCGCGCGCACAAACATACATCATAACCATTGTTCGGGCAGTACGCATCCGTTTCCGGTACACGCCGCGCAATGTAGGACGTTATAAATTGTTCGGAAAAATGCACCGTTGGTTCGCGTTGCTTCTTCCTTCCGGCAAACAGTGTGCTAACACTGAATTTCTTGCTAAATCATATCTTAAAGTGTGAAATATATTTCCTCCGTTTCATATAAAAGATTTGTAAATTGTATAAAGTTATATTTTAAAATAAATTTCACATTTGACTGCGCTTTTCTATTTCAAGTACAGCAAAGTTAACTAAGAGTGATATTAAGATGATGAAATACAATCTATATAGGACAGTAGAAGTTTATATCAACCGAGCCGATGAAAGCCACAGCGCATGGAGTCCTAAAGCTCTCAAACGTAGTCTTCTCGAGTAGACCACCTCTGGAAGCCTAATTTAAAGAGGAAGTCTTACAAATGAAACGTTGAGTTGCAGAGAGTGGAATTAAACATTGTTTCGGCTTGTACATTGATATAATGAACCGACGTGGAAATCAACTGTTGTTTAACAAAATATAAACAAACTGTAGTCTCTTTATTATTATGTTGATAAGTTATAAAAATTACTGCAATAAGGTGTTCGTAAACAAATACTAATATTTACCCTTTGAGCTATAACTTATTTAAATTCTGTATTAACATAAATCGAACCCAATAAATATTTAAATTAAATCGATCGAGAACTGATAGAAATTTCAAACTCACTTAAAATTCACTTTAAAACTTAGGAAATGTAAATTTCTTGACGCTTATAATTAATTAACACTAAAAGTGCGGGGGAGTTTAAAAGATTGAAAGCGTCCCCTCAGGTCTTTTCGACCCTTCGCTAATCACAACCACGGCCTCTCGCGGAATATTGCAACGCCGTCATAAGCTGCTAAATGAATTTGTCGTTATATTTATGACAGGATATACAATTTATAATTATTTTTATAATTAAATAATTTGCTTTTCTTTATTAAAAAAATAATATGTTTATTATGGAACATAAGATACAGGTATCACTTATTCCACGTCATTAAATTTGAAACTGCAGGCATCCCTACTCATCGGCAGAGAAGACAATACCTAGTCTAAGATCCCGCTGCAGGATTGCTGTGCTCATCGACTTTTTGTGTAAAACCAAATTTTTATGTTTATTTATAATTAAGAGAATAAAAATAGGTTATGAACGTATAAATTTATCGAAATCATACCTGTTTACACCTGGCTGCAAAGAGGTGCGGCCAGGTGCGCAACGGCAACCGTGATTTTTTAGAATCTTCATATTAATTACCGTGATGTAGACGTTATTTTATTTAAAAAATAAATAAACGAAATTTTTTACCAAAAATCAATTAAAAATAATGGCGGCCAAATTTTGATAGGCACCCTAGTAAATATATATTCTCTTAATTATAAATAAACATAAAAATTTGGTTTTAAACAAAAAGTCGATGAGCACACCAATCTTGCAGCGGGATCTCGTACTAAAAGGGTGTAGGCCAAGAGAAAAAACTAGTCCGATGCCCTTTTATCAACTAGATAATCGTTAACTTTACAGTAAGCCTTTTTACACAGCTTTTCTTTAATTCAATAACTTAAATTTATTAAAAGGCGGAGATAAAAGATCCCTTTTCCCAAAAAAGAATTACTAACTGTAGATAGTCTAGCACGGGGAAATTGCAGCCTGCGTTTGTTCCGAGTATTAACATTCTGCGTATGTTCTATTCTAGTAAACTTATCACTATTTTTATATACATACATAATATTATCATAAATATATTGCGAGGGAAAGGTAAGTATATTAATTTCCTTGAATTTATCTCTCAGAGATTCCCTACATTTTAAATTATGGATTGCACGAATAGCCCTCTTCTGCAGGATGAAAATAGTTTCGACATCAGCAGTATGACCCCATAATAATAAGCCATAAGTCGTTAAGCTATTAATCCTGCAATTCTTACCAAGTTGCTATTTGAGGTTTTAAATACTAAACACAAAATATAATTAATATTTTCGCGTTCGTGTATAAGAAACTTTACGTATTGACAACATTTTACATTTACATGTAGATTGTATAAAACGCTCAATCTGAGTTCAATCAAATACCAAAAGGGGCACTCAATTTGCTCTAAGGCTTATTTAAATGTGTTTTAAGTGATCTTCTATTAGCCCATCATAAATGGAATACATTAGGGAGTTCTTCAACTTATTAAACTTACTTAATTGAATTATCGCTATAATAAATCCGTATTTTTATGGTGAACTAGCTGGCCTGGCGAACATCGTACCGCCTAACAGTCGATTCTTTATTTTTTTTAAATACTTATTCTGCTATTCGGGACACCGGTCTAGCTAGTAAGATAAAAAAAAGAAAGTTGATAAGACAACAAATACATTATGTCAAAAAATAAAAATTTACCTTCCCGGAACCCCTCCACTAACATTTGAACTTTATAATATGGTATTAAAGTTCAAATTGTCTTTTAAGTATTATTACGAATATTTTGTATGGGAATATAGAAAAAAGTTGTTTTTAGACTTTCTCACTCAATTTTTCTCTCCGTAAGAACCATCCTCGTACTTCAAGGAATATTATTTTTAAAAAAATCAGACAAATCGGTCAAGCCGTTTTCATGTTATGTCGTGACAACGGAAAACGGGTTTCATTTTTATATATATAGATATAACATTATACTTCCTATTGGATATTTTACGGTGGAATGTATAGATACTAATTTTGTGAACAACCGATTGAATTGGATTTAATTGTGGGTTATTATATTTTACGTATTGAATAATTACTTTGCACACAATAAATATCATCATGTGATCGACTTCGCGCGCAATTCCTTGCTCAATAATTATAATAATAAATCGTTTATTTGCAAATAAAGTGGAACATTCAGATTGATTAATAAGAAAATAACAGCAAAATTAGCCATATAAAAATAGGCATGCACAATGCACATGTGATATTAATTATCTTAATGTCATAATAATAAGAACAGTTAAATTATTTACAATTCGTGTCAAAACTCATAGTCTACGTATAAATACTCTCCCAGGCTATAAAGGAACCTTGCTTTTAAGAAATTATTACTATATTTTTATAATTTATTTACTGTAGCGATGAAAATAAGCCAATGGCTACAATCTCTTAGGTCTCAGCCTGTGCACATACGCCGTCGGCCTTTTGAAACTTCAGGTATGCCGGTTTCCTCACGTATTATCTTTCACCGTTATAAATAAACACAATAGATTTATTTAGTATAGTATTAAATATTCAAAACGTGTGGCACTCGGGGACTGCCGCGGTAAAGCTATTGCATAGCATTTTTTATCAACTTATGCAATTATTTATTTATTTCTTATTTATGCAGTATTTTTTTTTCTTTGATATTAATTCAATCTACCACTCTACTAGACTCAGTCTAACACGCCTATATAGTCTGTCTCACTCTCATGCGTACCGGCTGCACCGGCCGCGCTTACTCTGCGTCACCGATCTTGTCAGAGAGATGTGAATACGCAGTATGCGTTCTGTCCCACTCTAACGCGTATTGGCCGCACCTATATTACGTCAACGTGTGTTAGGTTTTTATTTTCGTTACGGAATTTCTTGATTCGGTCGCCGCGCTCAAAGCCCGCAAAAAAACCTATGCAATAGCTTAAAATATTACTAAGGCCATCTAGATTACTAAGATCTCAATATGGCATTGGGATACTATCTAGAATTATCATTATCTTGCAAAGCGAACGATGAAGATAACAATCATAAAGAAATAAGATCGCCTTGAATAACTCTTCATTTGAATTGTTATTTGATTACTACTTATTAAAAAATGTTGAATGGACTTTCTCTGTAATATCTGTATTCAAGTAAATTAGTTTTAAGTATAAAAGATCCACAAAATATAAACGCTTTGAATAATGAAATAGTCAACAAACTTCGTCCCAATTAATCAGTGTTTAGTAACAAATTGGGGTCGGAAATACCGAATCGCCATTTGCGGGTTACACTCAATAGTTACTTGTATAAATCTTAGAGTAATTGCTGGTAATTTTAACTGTCCTATTAACTTGTGCGGCTACATAACCTTAAAATGTATTGTGCAAATTGCGTAAAATAAATAACCTACCTAATCGTATTTCATGCAAAAGATATATAGATATGTATTGATTAGCATTATGTTTTGAGAGCATATTAGATCTTGTCATTCATACAGACATAAGCGCTTAAAAAATGTGTAACTTTCACCGATTTTAGTATATAGGGGATTCAAAAATGCGCCTTGATTTGGCAAGAACATTAATTCTTTATCAAACCTTGTTGAAAAGATATACAAATAATATTAATAAATGCAATTAATTAAATACGTATGAGACAATGAAAATTGCACACTACTACAGTAGATGATATTGTGGATGGTGGATATTGAGCATGTGCGACATGAGGCCAAATAAGGTCCGGTCCGGAATGAATCACTGGAGACATTATCCATAAAGGGAGAATGCGATATCAGTTTTCAGTACGCCGTACACTGGCTATTTCTGATACTAAATAATATCCTATTCGTACAATGCCTATTCGTAACAGAGAGTTGTTTTATCACAACACAACAATCTCAGATTTCTGTACCTATTCCGAGATCTTGCTCTAAATAAAAACAGTTTATGAAATTTGTTCATTTTACATTTGTTTATCAATTGACAAACAAAATCTTCAATACAAACTAGTAACGGATGAATTAATTAGTCCGACGTAATTGTGCGCCTTTTACAGTTCCATTGAACAGCCAGTAAATTAGAATAAAATTTTATTTTCGATTATTTTAAGAAAGCAGTAATGTATATAAAACATAAGTAATTCACACCATTAGAAAAGGAGGAATGTGTGAGAGAGAAACTCGAGTACCTCGATAGAATCGAACCGCTCGGGGCTGGATGAAAGTAATATCCTACTTGCAATGAAACTGTTACATTAGTGATGTTCCACTTAGCGTTACATATCGATCTTATTTCCCTATTGTATTAAATATCGTGACGTACGCTGGTGATACTGGCGGTTTTCAATCATTTTTTATAAGAATAATGTTATGTAAGTATGTAATTAGTCTTTATACGACTAAAATAATTACTTGACGTAAATCTTGTAATGCTGCATTAATAATTTTCTCGACACTTGAAAAAATACCTGAATATTTTTTTGTTAACAGTTTTGTTATTGAACTTTTTATCGATATTAATAGACTAAGCACATCACTGAAATTGGATTTGTTTCAATACGATCGGTTATTATCGTTTTAGATATGCGTTGCGAATTAACTTGTTTATATTATTACTTCCTTCTCCCGCGTCTCAATATAATATTAATGCCGACATAATATAACTGAATTAATTATTACAGCCAGCCATTGGTACGATATCAACAGTATACTTTTAATTAAGTATAGAAATAATATAGATTGAAAGCAAATAACTTTATACAAGTGTATGTAGGTACATGTTCCACATTTCGATGTTTATCGAGTAATAAATTAACACATTTTTTAGAAATTAAATTCCAATTCCAAAAGGTTATATCAAGGTCTTAAAATGTAAAGTAATCACAAAGCCTTTTAATCTTAATTTTATAGATAATTAAAAACACTAGGTGGCTAAATAATAACAATATATTATGTAAAAAAGGAATGAGCAATGGATAAAAGAAATATATGTGTTAATAGTCAAAACTAACTTTATCTAATATATAAAATTCTCGTGTCACAGTTTTCGTTGCCATACTCCTCCGAAACGGCTTGACCGATTCTCATGAAATTTTGTGTGCTTATTGTGTATGTCTGAGAATCGGACAACATCTATTTTTCATCCCCCTAAATGTTAAGGGTAGTAAATTATTTTTTTTAATTTTTAGATAAATTACTTATTTTTTATTTTTTTATGATACAGCATAAAAAAATACATAAATACAACCCCTAACTTTCACCCCTCTACGATCAGCCCCTATTTTTTATTATAAATGATATACATGGCAAAATGACGTTTGCCGGATCAGCTAGTTTACCTATATAATTTTATGTAGTAACTTTTTGTGTATTGTTAAGTAGTAACTGTCGAAACTTACTGTAAGTATGAAAGTCGGTGACTTGCACGGTGTTACAGTCCTCGCCGACCTGCAGATAGGTGATCTCGCAACGGTACACTCCTTCATCATCAGCCTTAACGTTGGTGATGACCAGCTCGGCGAAAGTAGCGTTTGGCTCATGGGAAATTGTCATCCTGCAAAGAGGTAACCGTTTAGAAGATTCACATTAATAATTTTGTACCTAAAATATTGTTACGTAAAAAATTGTTTCAATAAGTCATTGGAACTTTAATACAATTATAGTAAAGTTTTCTCGAAGTGGGTCGTTCAGCGCGCTCTGATGGATCGCCTGCGCTTGACTCTCATCTAATTGAGTTTTCTTACGATCCCCTTCAACTGACAACTACTTCAAACTGTCGGTCATACGTAACGTGACCAGACGTCCCGTTTTGAACGGGACTGTCCCTTTTTCCCGAATCCCGGTTACCCCAAAATGAACTGTGAGTGTGGGACGCAAAATTGTCCCGTTTTCAGAAACCACGCGAAAATTTAAGGAGCAGAATATTAAAAAAAACATGTCAAGAGTCTCATTTTTATTTGAATTCGCCACCAGCTATATTAAAACAAATTTGTTCTTCTGGTTAATATAAATGTAACTAAACATTTTGGGTACCTATATTTTGTGAATCTTAACTTTTAAGCCTAATAACTTTAACTAAATAAATAACTTTAAAAAAGTGTTTTTTTTCATTGACTACTTATCATTTGACCTAAATTAAACCAATGTCCCATTTTGAGTCAAAGAATAAATGGTCACTTTAGTCATACGGTGCACGGCGAATAGCGAATCAAACGAAATTATATGAAGCTTCTAATCTTGTATATGTTAATTTTTTCTTAAATAATTTTATAGAAATACGACCAGAATGAGAATTTCACGATAATGTTTATAATACTTTATTTAACGGCTATACTTAGAGTCGTTAACTATCTTTAGAAGAATATTTTTTAACAATACATCATCTAAACATCGTGGCGTGCATTCAGTTTTTAGACCAAAAAGGCATGGAGACCTCCTACCAGAGCAACACTGCGTGCACTAACGAAAAACGAATTTTGACGGTTATTGACGATCAATGGCTTTTTTTAATCCAGAGGTATTAAGAACAAAATACGTAGATACGAACAAAAACTGTTAAATATTATTTCACTAATTAATATTAATAACTAATACTAAACAATAATTAAGACTTAACTAAATATAACTATTTAATCGGCCCGATATTAGGTGCACGACAAATAATCTATATTATAAACTTATCTAGTTGAGAATTGACCGGTCCGATGTGAGGTATCCGAACAAAAAGCTTCTTCTGGTCTCTGTTCTCCGTTTCCTTATACAACGGTGTTGCGTAAGAGGGGTACAGGTATTTGTTATGCGGGGCAAAGGGAGTGCAATGGATATGTAACAAACTTAATTACAGTCTATGCAGTATTTATGGATCAATGTCAAAATAAGCAACTTTTACAAAATGGCCGCTTTTTTAAAAACTCCGAATTTATTGTAAGAATTCGGGCATCGGGTTGAATTTCTTCTTTTCTAAACCATGCACATGGCACAATGCACATAAAATAGAACTGGCATAGACTGCAGAGCGAGATTTTATGGTAATTTGTATTGAACCGATGATAGTTCTACTCTAACTATTCAACAGGTGGCGCTGATTTACATTAAGAAATTTGTTTATAATTATATTGAAGGACATATTATTCAGATATATAGATCAGCTGTCTTTATGACTTTATTTAATGCACACCACTAATCGAAAAAATTGCTAAATACCTACCATTGCTTAGGTAAATTAGGTAAAACAGCTTAAGGTAGTGCAAGACATTTTTTATTTTCCGATTTTATTTATAGTGATCTTTTATACACATCTTTTTTAAACAGCTCATGTAACTGTTAGCTCTGTTTGCCTTATAATAAACATTATATTATTAGGTAGAGCAATATAAATTTATTCAATGTACAATCAGTTACAAACAATACATTCCAGTTATCATAAGTCCATGTCAATTCGATTATAATTTGTATTGTTTCAGCAAAATAAATCAAATCTTCAAAGCGAAAATATCAGTCGTAGGTATTTCTACGAAACGTCAATCCTTTCTCATTGTACTTTGAAAACGTACTTCGGCAGTACTAATTATAATTTATAATCAAAACTACCCGCGGGATGAACTAGCGATAACATTCATTGACTCCACAGTGTACTTATACATGTAAGGAATGTACCGGATTATTAATGAGGATATAAAATAGGAATTAGGAGGTGACCATGGGTGAATAATGAAAATTCCATAGAAATAATGTTAGTAAGGTTGCGCTTAGTAATATTATCTTTTTGTGCACTGATCGAGTAAATTGATGATCTCATTATTATGATTATGAAATTAATTTATTTTAAGTGTGAATGAAATAATAAATAGTTTGCGTAAATAGAAGCTTTAACCTGCTTAAATGATCAACTAGTGCCACTAATAAACATTTCATTGATTTAAAAGACGTACGTCTTTCCCCACTGCCCATTTTATAAACTGCTCCGTGAGATTGATAGTCTGTTCCTGACTCGTACTAATTGAGTTTCCTTACATTTGGAGTTAAATTGAACATTTTACGCTCGAGTTATTTAATTGTCTACTGTACACGATTCATCATAGTTTAACTACTTAAAGAAACTGGAGAATTCTCTTACGTCCTTTGTTTAAGTAGTTAAACTCTCTCGTGTTAAATTACCTAGTTTATAGGCTTTTCTCACGTGAAGGTTCTGCACAAATAGAAGAAGAAAGAACACATTTCATTACTCCCTTATAACATAACGGTAGGCAGTCTTCTAAATTAGTTTTAGCAAATATATAAATTTTATTATGGAAGTAAAGGCAGCTTTTGAAATTAAGTCGTAACCTGAACAAATTAAATGAAGCGAACAGTATGAAGCGAACAGCATAAAGCGCTCAATATCATTGTTAAGCGAAAAACATCAAAACAATACCCTCTGACGTCCATTAAACAATTTAACAACTTGCTATTTTTCCTTATTAATGTTACTGCTGTCATAAAAGCCGGCAATTTCATCGTGTTCTAAAAATTATCACACTTTCCGATGCTTCAAGCGCTAAGTTTATAAACACAAACAAAAACAATAGCGCTTTAAACCGATGGAAAATTTAAAACTTTTATGGTCTATAAAGACAGGCGTTTTATGACGGCTTTTAGTTCGCTGCGAAATAATAATTCGAACTGCTTCCATTATCTTTTATTGAGAAAGATAAGCTTTCTTTTGAGACTTTACAACAGATACGAACCTAAGTTTCGTATCGTAACAATAGTTATATATAAGCGCAAAGTTTATATTTGAATATACTTAGTCTTTAATGACACGAAATAGGAACTGCAAATAGGTTATATACAAAATACCGTACCTATATTGTGTCAACAATAACACATTAATAAAAACATATAGGTACACAATGATTTAGTTATAAAAATTCAATAAATATAATTTTAAACATATTTAGCATTTATTAATTACTTCCATATTAGTTTTAACAACTGCATGTTTCACGTCTCGAATAATTAGAGAAAAAATAACGAACTCCATATACGGGTATATAACGTGTTTAAATACACTTCAATCATCGTCGGTACCAAAGGTGCGGTTGTCAAAAGAAATTTCCTGAAAATGCTACTCGATGGCGTGAAATATTAAAATAGTTTCACGTAGAGCTATTAAAACTGAAACCACGTAATAAAAGGCAAAAACTACCCGCACTAAAGCTGCTCTCAATTACACCGGCGTGTAGCCGTCGCTTGGTGGTTTTTCCGCGAAGTGTGTTGTGAACTTTTTGCTTCATTAGGAGTAATCGTATGAAATTTCACTCATTTACACGTTAGAAAGTTCAGCCAGGTATTTTCGGCTTTGTATGTTAACAAGTAATGGAAATACAGTTGACTGAATAGTCTGTGAACTAGTCAAACTTGATCTTAAATGAAAAAAACTCGAAACATGTTTAATTATAAAATTAAAATATTTTGTTAAAAAACATTAAAAAATGCATAAAAAATAATGCGTCCATTTACTTCAGTGAGTAAAAAGTGTTTTTGTAATGGGGGTATTTAACAATTATTATAGAATTTCTAATGATGTCAACTCCCCGTAAACAAAGATTCGCATCAGACATTCGAGCAGTTGTGATATTGTATACAATCAGAACTACGATGGAAAAGAAAATAAATAAAAGAAGCGTTATCTATCATTAAAGTTGGCGTCATAACTATGACAATAACATTACTAGACGTAATATTTCGTCGCATAATTTTTATGTGCAGCTATAAAGCGTATATGAGTAAAATCGTCAACATTAAGCAGGCTCTAGCTATAAAAACGCGTTTCACAGAACTAGTTTTCATATAAATGTGACTGGCTATCACACCGTGAGTCCAGCAAAGCTTACTTCGCACTAGATTTTAAAGGCGTTGGCACTGAACTTCATGATCACTTATTTCGGAATATAGCGTAACGAGATGAATATTTATATGTGGAAGACCGAGGCAATGCTCGTTGCATTTTTTAAATTTTCTTTCATATGATCACTAAGCTATTTTCAATAAATTTGTTTATATACGCTTTTAAGTAAATACTTAAAAATGGAAGTAACAGATATTTTCCTTTCCTAATGCTACGGTGTGAATACGGCCAACAACATTAAACAGTTAAGTGGGACAATAGGTGCTAAAATTTCGCCTGACACGTGAAATATGAGCTGAAAAACTAATACACTTTACATGAATTATGCAAATGTATCCCGCGCTAATTAACATAAGGGTAAAGGGGGAAATAACTTATATTTACACTATAATATAGAATTTTATGATGAGATTCATGGACGACGATTTCAAAGTGATGTTTGTACAATTGTACAAACATCTCTCAACTCTTTACCTAATAAATGATTTGCCAAGGTTTTAGCACTAAGTAAAACGCCGGTAAACACAATAGAAACGTAATAATAATTGATATATGCCATTAGCATCGCGCTTCATGTATCGCTTCAATAATGTTGTAATCATATTTTATATTATTTTATTCACCGATATTCAACAACTATGGTTTGAGATAGGACATTTATTAA